TCTGTGCATGTTCTGGGCTGGCGCTGTCTTCCTGTGTGAAGCGCCAGACCCATTCACACTATGAAACGATGATGATGATGTATGTTCAGGGCTGCATTACAACATTGATTGTTCGGATCACTAGTATCTAAGTCTTCCGCTATGCTATCTTATACTTGTATTGAAAGGTCGGTCCTTGTTCTGGTCTGCACCTATACGGTATGCAACACTGAATCTGGCCGCAGGCCTTGACGAAATAGGCGCAACTGCATCACCCGGGCCCCAACTGCATCGGGCCTGGGATCAGGCACTGGGGCCCAGTCGCAGGCTGAAGGGAGGCTGCCCACACGCAGCACTGGCATATAGGCAAGCAGGGCGAGTGGGCAGGGATCTTTGGCCAATGCAGGCATTGCTGGCATGCTGCGCGAATGCGAGCTGCTGCGCGGTGTAAAGCTGCGTTGGGCAGAGGGAGGCAGACAGCGCTAATGCGGTGGTGCGCTGTCTGGGCGCAGGGCGCTGGCAGCCATAGCCGGGCTGCATGAGGGCGCAGGGGAGGTGAGGACGAAGGTGTTTCTTGGGAGGTGAAGGGCGCTGTGTGGGTAACAAGGGAGAGTGTGGGTGAAGAGGACACGTACCTGGTGGAGGTGGAGGTCGGCATTTGTGTTGACATCATCACTCGCTGGTAGCCAAGTTGTCTGGTTGCTTTCATTGCTGTAGTTGTAGGCTTAGGCTGTAGAGTAGATAGGGCGCCTGGCGCCATTCACAAGAGAGAGCTACATTGGGTTATGCTGTTGGTGTTGCCCTGTTGGGCTTGGACATTGACTCACGATTCTTCTGTATCATTCTCAAATGGATGGTTACTCGGTTCCATTGTGCTATCTGCTCTGGCTTTGACTACTTGGACTTCAGTGTGATTTTGCAATCTGGATTTCTGTGCTTCGTTCATATTCATGCTCCTTGCAATTTGGTATCGGAGCTGGTATGATTCGCCAGTTACCTTTGGCACGTTGGCGTTATACAGACTTGGTGCGTTGATGATGCTTCTTCGCAGTTGGTTCTTGTGACATCAGGCCATTGATAGGCGCACGCCCTGGGTAGAGAGGGGTGCGCCGGAAGGCTAAGACGGCAGTGTATGCCGTGGTGACAGGTGGAATGTATGATTGGTGATGAGAGCATGCTGATGTGGCATTCGGCTGAGGTGGCACTGCATTGCGTTGTGGGTGGTACCGAGGCCAAGGACCGGTCATCAAATGCACACTCAACTCAATTGGTGAGAAATCTGTGGTTGGGGGCAGCTATCTCCAGGTATGTCGTTCCCTTACCTTATCTACTCTCTCAATCTCTTCTTACCGTGAGGAAGTGAGTCCAACTTGAGAGTCCTCTCTTTTGGTGAAGTGTCGTGAGCGCGCTACCTTGAGAGACGACAATCTTCCCGGAAGCATCTAGAAGGAGAAAGGGCGGTGTCTCTGAAGGGCCCTGGTCGAAGCACTGGGTCACGGTCACCATGCCAACCCAATGGGAGTAGGTCACGCATGCGATGGCTGCTGTCCATTTTGGCACTTGCTGCGCTGAATAAAAGTCCTGCCGGGTGTGCCAGCCTTTTATGAGACGCTTACCAGACCGTCTATAAACATTTCTGGTTGGGGACTTGGTTGAATCTGGCTGTGATCGTCGTCCTGACTGCGACGTTAAATAATTCCTGAAGAGATGGGGGCGCTCTCAATATTCCTCCTGATCAGCCAGATCAACCGGGTGTAAGGCTCGTTCGGTACGAGGGTAAATAAGAGTGGACTGGCTGGCTTGCCCGACAACGACTGGGGCACAAGGGTGGGCTGAAAAACACACGAACACTGCTTGCTCAATGATGCTTACTAGTATGTTGGATTGAGGGGAGGGTAGGTTCTAATTGGTGCTCAAATGGAAACACAACCATACCCATCAATCATACATCTGCAACATGGTCTTTCGTATTCTTGACTAGTTGGTGGACAGACTGCTAACACCTCACAGACAGATTAGATTAGGACTGTTGTATGCTACCATAGCCAGTTCTATCTATTACTGCTGTAAGTGAACCCATCAAGATACACATAGAATATGTTGACAATCTGTTGTGAATGTTGTAGACATGCCACTTGATCTATACCGTAGGGAACCTGCCGGACACAACTATTTTTAGAAAATTAGGTGCCGGTCAGACACATGTTGTGGTAGGACTCCACTAGGGGGTTCTAGTGCAGATAATGCTTGCCTAATTGATGAACGGGTCAGACGTCGATGAGGAGAGAGTTGACGATGCTAGACTAACACGTGCGAGATCACGTAGGATCCCGCACGTGTTCCAGACCTTACAACCGGAAGACAAAAGACGGCTTCGTGCCGAACGCAGAGCCCGTGCACTAGCAACAACTAGGGAAACAGCAAACGCCGCAGCTAGGGAACAGGCTGCAGCAGCAGTCAGGGCAGCAGCCATGACTAGTTCAGCAGCATCCTCTGCTGCGTTGTCTGGGACCAATGGGACCCAGTTGGGAATGCCAACAGGGTCCACGGGTACTTCCAGTTCGTTGGGTTCTCGTCAGTCTACAAGTCAAATGGCGGGCGCGCCGTTCAGCCCGTTGACTCCTCGCGAAAGGGAGCTCAGGGAGCTCCAGCAGGTCGAAAGGATCCGTGAACAGTTAGAGAGGGACCTGAAGAAAGCAACCGATAGAGAAAGGAGGATTAAAAATAGAGCAGCTAGGCTTGATACTTTAGAGGTTGACAAGGCTAAGTTAGAGGGCTTGGATGAGTCAGCATTGTCTGACCGAATGAAAACACTGAAGAAGAATATGTTGTCGTTGCATCCGCACGTGGACAGCAGATTGGACTTCATGTAGAGCACTCTAGACCAGATCCTGGACGTTCTGACAAGGCCAGGATTTAGGCCACCAGCGCAGTCGCCGTTGCCGTTAACGGCGATGTCAGGCCCCTTTCCAGTACAAGTTGGCACACAGCCAAGTGGCACGTCTGTAGCAGCCGAACAGACTGTTGCATCTTCTTCTTCGGGTCCAGCGGTGGTTGCTACACCACAACAACAATCTGTTCCGCAACAGGGACAGCCGCAGGGTCAATGGTTTCCTAAGACCCCAATGAAACCGCCTCTTGCTTTCTCAGGCGAGAGAAAGGACGAAGAACTCAACACTTGGTTGAGAACAGTCCCGGTTTGGG